TTCGAGTTGTTTTCGTTGTAGATGCACTGTTTGTCCATATTAATCTGATTGAAAATGGCTCCAGAGATGAAATGATCTGGTGCTGCCAGCTTCCCATGAATTCATCTGAGTACAGATCTGATCCGGCACTGTGTGGACGCCTAAAAACGCTGATACGCAAATGTAGGTCTATGTGCCGCGAAGTAATTCAACGCCAAAATACTAAAAGGCTAGAATATATGTCCATTCATATAAACATGTGTCTGTGTGTACGACCTGCAGACGTATAATCTCTGAAAAGTTTAACATGAACCATCTCCAACACGACAAACACAGAACAGACTCACCATCAGCAGAACACCCCTCTGTCACAGAAAGAACACTCATATTCCACTGAGTTATGTCCTTTAGTACGACAGAAGCTGAACTGCATTAGTGCACAATAGTGAGCTGTTTTTTGAGTTTAGATTATGCAAATGAGCCATGTGGTTTTAAGTTTTGTTTCTGTAAAACGTAAACAAATATGCTCAAAGACTTGCGGACACAGAAACGACGTATCTGGATGTAGATCGTTTCTGATACGGTGATATGGTGATTCGTTTCAGTTTAAACGTAGCATTGATATGACATTAAATGAGAGTAGTTTACTTTTAAACAAGAAAACACCGTCAAAAAGGTATCTAATTGTCAAATCTATTTTAAGTGTCAAAACATCTGCTCTTTCACGTTAGAATGGACTAGTCGACTTGATGGTCGGATGTAAACAAAAATGTAATTGTACTAGCAACAAAATAAAACTACTTTCAGCTCTGGTTATTTAGTCGGCGGCCTAAATAATAAGACAAGTTTCGGTAACACTTTATAATAACTACACCTTATTTAGCCTTAATAAAGCATGAACAAAGACTTAATTAATAATGATTCACGCTTAGTAACTATTTAATTACTACCTGAATTAGCACTTAACTTGCACTTAATTCGCCTGTGCTGTTAATAGTTACTCAATACTTCTTAATTACTCATGAACTAACCATTTGCATGTTTACAAATGCATATTTAAGTACACATTTGAGCATTTATTAATCATTAGTAAGCTATGAGAAAATGATTTATTAATAATGCAATGCAGTGATAATTCAGGCAGCTGTTATCTGTTAGTTAAGTCTTTTTGAGAGCTTTTCTAAAGTGAAGACTAATTATGCTTTATTAAGCATTTGTTTAGGTTGGTCAAATTCCAGAGAAACAATAATGCATTACTAGTAAATCATTCTCTCATGGCTTAATAATCATTAATAAATGCTCAAATTTGGACTTAAATATACATTTAAAAATGCACACACAAATGGTTAGTTCATGAGTAATTAAGTAAGAAATGCTTATGAGTAACTATTTACAGCACAGGCGAATTAAGTGCAAGTTAAGTGCTAATTCAGGAAGTAATTAAGTAGTTACTAAGCGTGAATCATTATTAATTAAGTCTTTCTTCATGCTTTATTAAGGCTAAATAAGGTGTAGTTATTATAAAGTGTTACCCAAGTTTCCAATCCAACCTAATTCAAATAAAGATGTGCGTGTCTCATGAACAATGTGAAAAAAACAGACAATGAATATTTTGTTAAATATAAATACAAAACGAAGGCCCCAAACTCAAGTTCACCCAGGGCCCCCAAACTGTTAACTCCGCCACTGAGCTAGAATTAGTAGTTTTCGAGATAATTGCTTTTAAATCTATGTCAAATTCTTCAGTCCCATGATAAATTTACGATGTTCAGCACCTAAACTGTTCAATTGTTGCTTTTAAAACAATGTCAGATTTTTTTGGGACACCCTGTATGTTCTTTATTTTAGCTGTTTTGTGTTCGGGGGCCCAGACTCGGCGGTGCGCTCCTCGCTCAGGCTGCACCGGGGGCTGAGCAGAAGCGTGTGTGCGACCGGCGCTATAATCGCTTCCATCTTGTTCTTTTTTTTTTTTTTTTTTCTTTTGTGACTGGTTTTTGCCCACTTCAGAGCTGCCACTTCACACGGAGGAGGAGAAGAAGAGGGGGGGAGGAGAGGAGGGAGGTGGCTACATATGTGCTGGTTGTCAGTGTTGGGGAGTAACAGATTACATGTACCAGAGTTACGTAATCAGAGTACAAATTATGAGTAACTGTATTCAGTTACAGTTACTGTTTCAGTGAGTGGTAATTGGATTACAGTTACTTTGTTGAAATAAATGGATTACATGGTGGTTTTTTCCTGTTTTCCCCTTTTTTTTTTTTTTTTTTTTAATTATTCCACTCATTGCCGGACACTAAACTAGGACTAAATCAGGTCTAAAACCAGGACTAAAACCAGGTCTAAACTAGATCTAAACCAGGTCTAAATCAGGACTAAACCAGGACTAAAACCAGGTCTAAACTAGATCTAAACCAGGTCTAAATCAGGTCTAAACCAGGACTAAAACCAGGTCTAAACAAGGGCTAAAACCAGGTCTAAACCAGGTCTAAACTAGATCTAAACTGGGGCTAAAACCTGGTCTAAACTAGATCTAAACCAGGTCTAAACCAGGTCTAAATCAGGACTAAACCAGGACTAAAACCAGGTCTAAATCAGGTCTAAACTAGATCTAAACTGGGGCTAAAACCAGGTATAAGCCAGGACTAAACCAGGTCTAACCCAGGTCTAAACTAGATCTAAACTGGGGCTAAAACCTGGTCTAAACTAGATCTAAACCAGGTCTAAACCAGGTCTAAACCAGGTCTAAATCAGGTCTAAACTAGATCTAAACTGAGGCTAAAACCTGGTCTAAACTAGATCTAAACTGGGGCTAAAACCAGGTATAAGTCAGGACTAAACCAGGTCTAAACCAGGTCTAAACTAGATCTAAACTGGGCTTAAAACCTGGTCTAAACTAGATCTAAACCAGGTCTAAATCAGGACTAAACCAGGACTAAAACCAGGTCTAAATCAGGTCTAAACTAGATCTAAACTGGGGCTAAAACCAGGTCTAAACTAGATCTAAACTGGGGCTAAAACCAGGTATAAACCAAGACTAAACCAGGTCTAAACTAGATCTAAACTGGGGCTAAAACCTGGTCTAAACTAGATCTAAACCAGGTCTAAACCAGGTCTAAATCAGGACTAAACCAGGACTAAAACCAGGTCTAAACTAGATCTAAACCAGGTCTAAATCACGTCTAAACCAGGGCTAAAACCAGGTCTAAACCAGGTCTAAACTAGATCTAAACTGGGGCTAAAACCTGGTCTAAACTAGATCTAAACCAGGTCTAAATCAGGACTAAACCAGGACTAAAACCAGGTCTAAATCAGGTCTAAACTAGATCTAAACTGGGGCTAAAACCAGGTCTAAACTAGATCTAAACTGGGGCTAAAACCAGGTATAAACCAAGACTAAACCAGGTTTAAACTAGATCTAAACCAGGTCTAAACCAGGACTAAATTAGATCTAAACTGGGGCTAAAACCAGGTCTAAACTAGATCTAAAATGGGGCTAAAACCAGGTCTAAACTAGATATAAACCAGGTCTAAAACAGGACTAAAACAGGAGTTAACAGAACTAAACCACGCCACGCGGACCGTTTCTCCTCCTCTTCTATCAGTAATATTTTTAATTTGGTTCAGTAAAGTCTGGTCTTTTTATTTTCTTTTAGCAGACAAAACATCTTATGTGAAGATTTCCTCGTCTTTGCTGCTCTACAGAAAATCAAGTAATCCAAAGTATTCAGATTACGTTACTCACTTTACGTAATTTAATGGATCTTGGTGGTATCGGGATCGGTATCGAGTCTGTGCTTAGCATCAAAATCGAGTGTTACGTTTTTTTCTATCGTGACAAAACTGCAGATTACTAATAAAAATAGAGACATGAGACAGGTGAGACAGGTGAGACAGGTGAGACAGGTGCAGTTGGCTCACCTGTGACAGAAGGAGGAAAGAGAGAGAAGGAGAGAGCGGGAGGCCAGAACGGAGAGACAGGGAGAGAGAGAGAGAGAAAACGTGGGAGCAGAGAAGAGAGAGTGATGAGAGACAGGGAAAAAGAGAGAGAGGGAGAAAGGGGATGGGCAGAAAGGAGAGATAGGGAGAGAGAGAGAGAGAGAGAGGGAGGATGAGACAGAGGGAGGAAAAGAGAGAGAGAGGGAGGAAGAGAAGGAGAGAGGGCAAGGGCAGAAAGGAGAGATAGGGAGAGAGAGAAAACGTGGGGGCAGAGAGATAGAGATAGAAAGAGATGAGAGGGAGGAAGAGACAGAGGGAAGAGAGAGAGAGAGAGAGAGAGAGAGAGAGAGAGAGAGAGATGAAGAGAGGGGAAGGGCAGAAAGGTGAGACAAGGAGTGAGTGAGAAAGAGAGAGAGAACGTGGGAGCAGAAAGAGAGAAAGGGAGGAGACAGGGACGAGAGTGGGAAAAAGAGGGAGAGTGACGAAGAGAGACAGAGGGAAGAGAGAGAAGGAAGGAGGGTAAGGGCTGAAGGAGAGACAAGGAGAGAGACAGACAGAGAGAGAGAGAGAGAGAGAAACATGGGAGTAGAGAGAGACAAAGACAGATGAGAGAGAGGATGAGACGGAGGAAAGAGGGAGAAGGAAGGAAGAAGAGAGAGAGAAGGAGAGACAGGGGAAGGGTCTCTCCTTCTCTCTCATCCGTCTCTCTCCCGTGGGGGCAGAGAGAGGGATGAGAGAGGAATGAGAGAATTTGGGGGCAGCGAGAGAGCTAGTTGACAGAGAAAGGATAAGAGAGAGAGACAAGAAAGGGGGAAGGAATGAGAGAGAATGTAGGTGGAGAGAGATGAGAGCGAAAGAGAGGAAAGAGGGAGAGGAGGAGGAAGAGAGAGAGAGAGAGGGGGGTGGGGAAGGGGAAGGGAAAAGAGAGGAGGAAGGAATAAGAGAACATGGGAGGGGGAGGGAGAGAGATGAGCGCAAAAGGATGAGAGAGAGGAAAGAGGGAGAGGGAAGAAGAGAGAGAGAGAGGAGGGAGATGGAGCGAGGTGGCATGTACGGGCAGGTGCAGGCAGGTGCAGTAGCCTTACCCGTCTTCTGGCTCATGTCGGTGGGCAGGTGCGGGGGGCTGGCGCTGAACGGGTCGTTGGTGTAGGGCAGGAGCGACGTGAGCGGGTGCATCCCGTGAGACTGCTGCACCACCGACACTTTGTTCGACTGCGACACAACAAAACAGGAAGAATCGAGTTATTTTCAGCTTTGGTTTCACTTTCTGTCATCGCACTAACTCAGAGGGCACGTTTCTCCGGTCGATACTTCACAGTGACATCACGCCGGGGGAGTCCTACGTGTATTTCTGTGTTCATGATGATGTTGCCATGGAGACACGATACAAACATGAGCAATACCTCTCAGAACGTTTTTTGAGATCGTCTCTAAACTCAAACAGAAACACAAAATGGATTTAAAGAGCACATTTTCAGGAGCTTGGGGTCAGTCCGAGCGTTCGTGGTCGTGTTTAGGAGTTTGACTTTCAACAAAAAGGTGACAATGACTCATTGAAAAACCAAAATCAGCTCTTTCTTGTCAGATATTGTCTAACAAAGTGTAACAAAGCTCCAGACAAAGCAGTGATTTCATTTTGCAGTTTGTAGTGATCCAAAGTTATTCCTCACTTATCTTAATTTTATTTATTCATTTATTTATTTATTTCATTCATAAAGTATAAAAAGACATCAACAGTGTCACAACATCAAAACACACAAGAAATGAACGAAAAGGAGCAGAAAGAAGAAGAGTCATCTTATGTTATCTGCCCCTTTTTTCCTTTTTCAAGACAATCCATCTACGCCGATGGTTACTAAACATTTCAAATCAGTACATTTCAATTCAGGTACAATTAGGCTGCGTTCAGACTGCAGCCTGAAGTGACCCAAATCTGATTTTTAGGCCCCTATGTGACCTGTATCTGATCTTTTAATGACAGTCTGAACGACACAGATCAGATTTTTTTCAAATGTGACCCAGGACACTTGGATATGTGCTCCTAAAACCGATACATATCTGATCTTTTGACATGCGACTTCAGTGTGAACGGCCAAAGCGCATTCATCCACCTACACGTTATCAACAAGCTACAAACGTTACTATTTTGCGCTGAAGTAGGCAAAAATTGTTAATGAACTCCATGTCACTGAAGTGAAGCACGTCACCACTCACCACTCTTGGCTCCGTCTCCACATCCACACGTTCCTTTCAACGGACGTCGCTGCTGCTGCCCCACAAAACACCACGACCAAAAACCTCGTCCTTCTCAATCTCCTCCTTAAAACAAGTAAGTTGTTCATGTTCTGGCTCCGGTACAAGAGAAACTTTAAAATTGCCAGGTGCTCAATGCTGCGTCCATGTTTGGACAACTTCCGTAAACACAGAGCACGCTCACTGCGGTTGACATCATCGTGTCTCCAGTGCTCATGCCGGACACTTTTGGGCCGTTTAATGTTCACACTGGAGTCACATACAAGTCGCATTTAATTGGAAATGTGAACGACCTCGCAAAAACATCGGATTTCACAAAAAAATCCAAACTGAGCGTTAAATCCTGCAGTCTGAACGTAGCCTTATTCATCAATTGTAAACATAAATCTTCACTTTTATGCACAACAACTTACTTTTCTTTTTCATATATACACATTGCATTTGATTTGATGTATTTTTTTAAATGCCGTCATTGTACTTGATTCGTTTATTTCTTTGTCAAGACTATTCCATAAGTTAACTCCCAGTTTCACAGTGACACTTCGCTCCATAACCTTGGTTCTGAATCTGGCTTTTTTAAACATGTAGGTTCCTTTTAAATTGTAGTGGTTTGTTCTCATCTCAAACAGTCTTTGAATATTTACAGGTGACACTCTGCACTTTGCTTTACACATGATTTTGAGGAGACTTAAGTCAACAATATCATGCATTTTCAACACTTTAAGTTGAACAAATATTGGGTTGGACTGCTCTCTACAATGACTGTTGATGATCTAATTCTAATTCTTCACCAAGATGAGCATTTTTCACAACACGAGACCAAAGTGGAGTTTTGCAGTCACAGTAACGCAGTAATAAAACAGCAAGTAGATTTTCGGACTGTAAAACGTTTTATAATTAGTTGCAGACAGTAAACAGTAGATTTATTTTGACCGCTTGTATAGGATGACGAGCTTTACAAAATCAAAAACTGTGACACCCCCCTGTTTGTGGTGGCTGGTAATAATACAATTGTGAAATGAGCACATACAGTAATTAAGAAAAATTGTTCTGTGCTCGGCCCAGTCATGACTTATTTACGACTAACATGTGTCAGTATAGTCACATTTTCTTTGTGTTTTGGTCATTTTTAAGCAGCTTTTCTGTATTTTACCTAAACAAATGACTACAGATGTAACAATAATCAAAATATCGTGATATCACATCATTAGAAGTCTCTCAGTAATATCATGGACCATCACAATATATCAAATTACAAGTCTTTTTGCTAAAATTCATTGTTTTCATGCAGCAACAGCTGAAAGAAACAGAGGGAACTACATAGACCATGATCCTCTGCTCTGTTTCAGTCCAATGAAAATTACTTATTAAGCATTTTTAGATCTTAACTCTTTGGTTTATTACAGAACCAAAGGCCTGTCAAGACATTTTTAAAGGAAAAAGTAGTATATTCACTAGGGGTGTAACGATATCCAAGTCTCATCCACACTAATCCGAAAACAGCTCCAGAGACGGAATGATCTGGTGCCGCCAGCTTCCATGAATTCATCTGAGTACACATCTGATCCAGCACTGTGTAGATGCCTGAAAACACTGATGTAGGTTTATGTGCCGCAAAGTAATTCACCACCAAAATGCTAAGAGGCTAGAATATATGTCCATTCATATAAACGTGTGTCTGTGTGTACGACCTGCAGATGTATAATCTCTGAAAAGTTTCACATGAACCATCTCCAACACGACAGAAACACAGAACAGACTCACCATCAGCAGAACACCCCTCTGTCACAGAAAGAACACTCATATTCCACTGAGTCGTGTCCTTTAGTCCGACAGAAACTGAACCACATCAGCGCACAAAGAGCGAGCTGTTTTTTGAGTACTTAGGCTGTGTTCAGACTGCAGCCTGAAGTGACCCAAATCCGATTTTTTGGCCTCTATGTGACCTGTATCTGATCTTTTAATGACACAGATTTGATTTTTTCAAATGTGACCCAGGACACTTGGATATGTGCTCCTGAAACCGATACATATCTGATCTTTTGACATGCGACTTCAGTGTGAACGACCAAAGTGCATTCATCCACCTACACGTTATCAACAAGACACAAACGTTACTATTCTGCGCTGAAGTAGGCGAAAATTGTTAATGAACTATGTGTCACTGAAGTGAAGCACATCACCACTCAACACTCTTTGCTCCGTCTCCACATCCACACGTTCCTTTCAACGGATGTCGCTGCCGCTGTCCCACAAAACACCACGACCAAAAACCTCGTCCTTCTCCTTCTCAATCTCCTCCTTAAAACAAGTAAGTTGTTCATGTTCTAGCTCCTGGTACGAGAGGAACTTTAAAATCGCCAGGTGCTCAATGCTCGCGTCCATGTTTGGACAATTTCTGTAAACACAGAGCACGCTCACTGCGGTTGACGTCGTCGTGTCTCCAGTGCTCATGCGGGACACTTTCAGGCCGTTTAAAGTTCACACAGGAGATCACATACAAGTCGCATTTAATTGGAAATGTGAACGACCTCGCAAAAACATCGGATTTCACAAAAAAAATCGGAATTGAGCGTTAAGCCCTGCAGTCTGAACGTAGCCTTAGTTTATGCAAATGAGCCATGTGGTTTTAAGTTTCATTTCTGTAAAAAGTAAACAAATATGCTCAAAGCTGTGTGGATAGAGAAGGCCTGTGGACACAGAAATTACATGTCCGGATGCAGATCGTTTCCGATACGGTGACACGGTGATGCGCGGATTTATTTCAGTGTAAACGTACTCTAAATTTCCATGACTTTTCTAGGATTTTCATGACCGTGAGAACCCTGTGTAAGTACCCACTAGTGTTATGATGATACTGAAATGGAAACCTCGATAAAATTGGGAATAGACTCGATACTCAGCACTGATTCGGTTACTACAATGATCACGTTTTAGACAACAGAATGTTCTCTTTCAACTTTTAATAACAGTATTTTCTTTTTTTATTCCCATGTGGTCTTATATGCGTGTAATCCCTCAATGTTTCAGGTTGGTTCCATAGTGGTCCAAGGGCGTATACTAGTCTATGTGCTCTTATACTTGTACTTATACTCTTATACTATACTCAAGATCATTCTAAAACTATTCAGGAAAGCTTAATTTCTGTCCAATATCTAGTTTTGATACTAGTTTAATCAGATTTTCAGTACTTTTAACCACCCTCGTACCACTGATGCAGTTTGAAACCTGACTGGAGCGCTGTGTTTGATGTAGACCTGATCTTCTTTGATGTTCTGCTGGACTGTTTTTGGGGATGCAGATGAGGTAGAGGAGGGTTAGCTCTTCATCGCCGGAGGCCGCTAACCGCACACTGCTGTTTGAACTACACTGTGTGGTTTGATTTGGGACAGAAAGGCTGTGTTTTGGCTCACAGGGAGGCACAGTAAACGTTGTGGACTGGGTGGGTGGATTTGTGTAGACGTTTGTGTAATTTCAGAGTTGTGATCATACGCAGAAGCAGAGTACAGTTACAACAAGAGCACCGGGTAGGCCTCAGACTGGCATGAAGCTTCGCCCATGGAATTAAGAGTCATAAAATGGTCTGGAGATGGCACATTTACGGTGACATCACGCTGACGGGGTTCTGCATGTGTGCTGACACAACGCACGCATGAGCATAAAATTTCAAGGTAAAATATCTCACAGTTGTTTTTAACACCGAAAAGACTTATTTGAACTATCTGAAAGTTAAATTGGGGTTTGAGTTGAGGTTATTTGCCAGACTTGATATGGTTGAAGTGAATTCAACTTCCCCTAGTGTTAATTTGGCACCTCCCATCCACCACTTCAAACTCCCGCGAGAGAAGACCAGTCTGAACCAGTTTTGAACAGAATTCCATCTTAAATTAACTAAAATAAAGTGTCAGAGTAATTTTGTTTAGCTAAATCAGGATAACCCTACAAAGTGTTATCTGTTT